ATATGTAAATATGGGACACTTAGATAAGAAATAAAATAGATTCTCAGGTGTAACAAGAATTCTTGATGAACAACCTCTGTGTAATTAAAAGAAAAAGGATGGGTAAACAAGCTCTAACATTCTATTTTGTGGGGGTCATTGGCTTTATTCTAGTCTCAGAGCTGGACCCTGGAAAAATCCACGACTAGAACTGCAATTTTGAAAGAAACATGCCATTAAATTTAAATGCAGTTATGTAACATAATTCGTAGATCAATATGGAAGTGCAAAGTGCAACAAAATTCTAGACAAAGAGAGCTCTTTATAGTGGAAATTATACCTAAATTAAAAAAGGTTTATATAATTCCCATAGTTAAAGCAAAATCTATAACCTAAAACCTCAAAATGTAGTCACTCTACATTTCAAATAAACAAACAAGCACATGTACTTCCTCAGCACAAGCACAACGTATACAGTGCCCCTCACATGATCTCCTCACAGACATTTCAAATTAAAGGTTGATTTGTTAGTTTAAAGGTAAGGAAACAGGTCTATGTTTAATGATGCTTCTAGTCACTAATAGTTCATTCACTAGTGTTGGATGACAAACACGTATTTAACTTGCTTAGAATTTTATATGTAAACTCCAGAGCTTTAGGGCATTTTAATTAAATATAATACTGATTTGGCAAGTGTCTATGCTTCTGGAGTCCAGCTTCTTTTACTAGAAAGCCTCATAACAAGACACACATGTTCTTGACAGACTTGCCCATCAAAGCCATGATACAGAAAGGTCATTCTATTTTAAATTCAAAGGTTTGTGTTGTATTAGTGGCCCAGCAATTTTGAATTGCATTACACTGACAAGTGATATTTAAGCTATAAAGACCAGGAAGTTACTTCTATATTCTTAAGAATTCTTTTTATTACAATATTCAAGCGAGAAATGGATCTGTGATAAAAATGGTATGTTAGGACAGGTTAAAATAATATCTGGGCCCAAACACTGGATGCATAGGTGAAAGATTTTTTTCTTCCTATCAAGAGTCTTAGCCAATCATGAATGAACGTCAAAGGCAGCAAACAAAAAACAAACTTAGAAAAATGTCAGAAAGAACTATGTGCCTTAGCTGAAAGGAATTAGGTCCATGGAGCTGTGGGCAGGGGCAAACTTTGCCCAGCTGCTGTCTGGTGCAGTGCAAGGGCTGTTTCCCAATCCATCTGTTAGATAGGACAAGGGTCTCAAGGTCTGGGCAGTTCTTACTAAATGCTTTTCTCGCTACTTGTTAAAATGCAGCACAATACTTTGCAGATGCAGCTGTAAACAGGATGAACTTGACAGGAACTCAACTGTCTAGGTGCAACCAACTGCAAAGAAGAAATCAATGTGTAATTGACTAAAAAGTGTATATAAGGAATGACTAAACCTCTCTTCAGGTAGAGTTTTGGCTTTGAGTCTCTTCTACTTGCTGCAAGTAAATAAAACTATCTTGCATTGACCATGGAGTGGCAAACCCCTTGAATTCTGTAACATGTTCCCTTGGCCCACTGGATGCATGTCCTGCTCTTGAGAAGAGAAGGTGGCCAGCTTTCTCACACACATCTAACCAAGGGGTAAGAGGTGTCTCGCCCACTGTGAGCAGGGGATGCTCTGCCTCTGTGAGATGTAGCAGATGCCTGCTGAGAATTGCTGAGCCTGGTGTGCACAGAGATTTCAGGGCCCAAGGGGGAGGAGATAGCAGCTGGACCTGGTGGGGATGGGTGGGAAGGAGGAGGTGGGGAGGAAAAAAAGGTGGGGTGGGAGTGACCACATAGCAGAAATGCCTGATGGAGGCTGCAAGATTCCCCTTGGCAATTCCAGTTTTAGGTACAAAGGACCTCATTGGGAGCTGCACACCTGTCAGAATTTGCCTCTGCAGGCTGGTAGGTTGAGGGAAATTTGCGTAACATGTAAATGAACAAACAAGTTGGTGTTGCTGCCAACAGAAGCTCAGTAGGTTTATTTCTGTTGTATTGATTTGATTATTATAAAACTAAGTTGAAATTCAAACTGGCCAAGTAGCTTAGTTGTTAGAGAGTTGTCCCCATGTGCTGAAGTTGCATTTCAAACCCAGTCAGGGCACATTCAGGAATCAACCAATGAATGTATGCAACAGCAGACTGATGTCTGTCTGTCTCTCTCTCTCTCTCTCTCTCTCAAATCAATAAATTAGAAAAATCTTAAAGAATCAACAAATGAATTAATAAATAAGTGGAACAACAAATGATGTTTCTCTCTTCCCCTTCCACCTTCTCTCCCTCCTCCTCTCTCTAAAATTAATAAATAAAAAATTAAAAAAGAATTAGTTACTGCTAATTTGGAGACAACGCACTCATTTGCAAAAGTTGCTTGGGCCTTTTCTAGTAACTAACATATAACTATGAGCGGTGGAAGATGCAGGACTAGCAAATACTGTTTGCCTTTGTGGAGAGATTGGCTGCCTTAAGAAACACCTACTAGAATTTTCATAAATAAAACATAGAGAAAGACTCAGTGGTGGGGGTGGGGAGTAGTTTTCCCCCTTTGGTATGAAAGGAATTAGTGTAGTAGCTAGAAAAGGAAGCTGTGTATGCAACCCGCTAGAGTGTAGCACAGGGTTTTCAACCTGGGGGGCTGTCCAAAAATACCAGAGATTGCAAATCCAGTGGTGAGGTCGCAGGGGGCGTGCCAGGAGGGTGCTGTCCCACATGTTTAACCCTTAGGCTGCATCATGGTTCTCATAGTGTGTGTAAGATCTTGCCTATATAGGTGCATATTCTATAATGAGTATATAAATAAGAGGAAATGCCAATGGTTACTTCCTTCAACTGTTATGTATGTGAAGAACAATGAAAGGAGAAATTGTACAAGGTGACAGTGTAAAATGAGATAGTGAATTACATAAGTCTTTTATATCAGCAAGATTCTATATATTTTTAAAGATTTTATTTATTTATTTTTAGAGAGAAGAGAAGGAAAGGAGAAAGAAAGGAAGGGAAACACTGATTTGAGAAACATCAATGGGTTGCCTCTCACCTGCTCCAGCTAGGGACTGGCCCACAACCCAGGTATATGCCCCGACCAGGAATTGAACAGCCGACATCTCCCTTTGTGAAAGACCCCCAATGAAGTGAGCCACACTGGTCAGGGCAGGATTCTTTTTCTGATCCAGAGCTTCTTGCCTTGCATGGTAATCTTTATAAGGAATAGGATATTGCAAGACATCATGGACAGAGGCAGAGAGCACATGCGCAGGCCGTATGCCGGACGGTGTCCAGTTTTGTGGGGTGGAGGGTGGCGTCCATGGAAATCCCGGCGACCTCCATTGCTTCTCAGGAGATGTGTTTGGCAGTGACTGAGAACCTGCCCCACACCTACCAGGGCAGGAGATTTATCAGTTACAGCCCTACTAGTGGGGAGCCCTTTCAGTTATTTTAACTCTTTTGACCATTGTTGATTTAGGACACTCACTATGGCTCTAATTACTTTCATTCATTTTTAAAAAGCAAAAAACAGCCAAGAATGATCATGTTGCTGAAACATTGGTATTCTGATCTCATTGTTTTCTTTTTACTCCTAGAAAGCTTGCTATAATATATATTTTTGGTCTTGAAGTTACATACCTACAGCATTTTTGTTAGCTAGTCAGTGATATAAAATGCTCCTTCATTTTCATGCCTGTTTTACTTATTTCTGAAGCCTGCATCATATGAGATTACTTTTCTATCAGAAGTTGCATGACAGAGCAGTCATTTCTGTTGGGTTTCTGAGACCGCTATCTAAAACGCAAATATCCCTTAAGGTTTGCTCCTCCTTCCTTGCTTCCTTCCCTCCCTCCCTCTCGTCCTTCCTTTCTTCCTCCCTCCCTCCCTCCCTCCCTCCCTCCCTCCCTCCCTTCCTTTGCTCTTTTCTTCCTTCTTTCTTTAGGGGGAAGTTAAAAATACTCTGTGTACAGTATAACGTTCATCCCTCTCCCATTTTGCCCAAGGTGAGAACATACATTAAATAGATTACAGAGGAATACAAAGTTCTGTCTTAATTTATTCTGCGATGATGTGAAAAGAGGCATGTTCATCATAATTTGGCTGTGGAAAACCTCCACAAATAACAGGTTCTTGATTTTAAATATAAATGTATGACATGTTTAAATTGAAGTATAAACACAACATTGCTGTTGTTCACAGTGTAGAGATGCCATGAAGAAAGCCATTAGCTATTCAGGCTAAAAAGAATCCAAAAGAACAAACAAAAACACCAGACGTGGAAGGCCAGCCTTTCCGAACAGCGAGCGCATCGGTGACAGGAATGGTCCTTGCTCGCAGCCATCAGGCTTGTAAGGAGACAACTGCTGTGCTTCCTAAATACCATCCCCAGCATGCATTTTGGCCAAAACACTTTGTTCATTGATGTCCTTTCTCATTTGGTGCTCAATACAGGAATTTTATCCATGTATACTATTTAAAAAATTTTGATTAGCTACAATGAAATTAAGAAGTGAAGGAGATGATGTTTAAATCTTATTCCTTCTACTTCTGTGCCATTTGATTAAATGAGCAAAATTTCCTCATCTGTAAAATGGGGATTCAGCTTAGATTGTCTGCCCCATGAGGACTGCTTGGCTGAACTGAAAGTTCTGGAAAACAAAAACTGTGAAGTGTTAAACCCATGAGACACCAACAAAGGGCTAGTAATATTGGGGGTGACATCATTTTGGGGCTCTGTTCAAGAACTGAGCACCTTTAAGGATGCCTGTAATACTGAGCACATTGGTATCACATGTAGAATGACCTTTCTGGTGGTCTTCAGAGAGCCCTGGATGCCCCCTTTGAATTGCCTAGAACAGGAAATAAAAGAAACCAGAAACATGACTTGGTTTTAAATCAAAATTTATGATTTTATTTTTAATTTTAATATATCAGAAAAAATATTTCTTTTAATGTCATGAAGTAATAAGCACTTGAAAATAACAATTCCAACATTGCTATGATTTGCTCTGTGAGGCTTGTATGGGTGGGATTCTATCTGCACTCAGGCCCTGGGACCTCAAGAGGCTGAATCTTCCAGTGGTTTTCAAGCAACCTCCTGCCTGAACATGCCCAGAGGCAGGCGGACCTGCCTAACACTGGCATGCCTGGGCAGTGCTACCAGGCTGCTCCTGGAGCCTTCTTGATTTCGGTCCACTGGAAGAAAAAGGTCTCAAGTGCCGTCAAGCATTGGGAAAATAACAGTGTTTAAAAACCAGCATGAGTCAGGAACTCCCCAATCCTGACCTAAATGGGTTGCAAATATGGCTTGGCCCTGACTGATGCAACGTTTCTTTGATTTAACCGGATGCTTCAGTTTACTACAACATAGTTTTCGGTTTGGCTTTCCAGTGAAGTGTATCTGATTGCAGATTTTTGCCTGCCCTGGGCCCACACGCAGTGTGCTCCCATTGTCTGTCTCTTTAATGCTAGAACTTGTTTCACTTTTTTAAAAAGTGTAATTCGGGATTCAGGGAAGCCTGGGAATTATTCCCCGCCCCCCTCCCCCCTTCTGTGAGCCCTGAATTTTGTGTCTGAGAATGAAGAAAGTAACTTGATGCAGCAGGCTTCTGAGTCTTCTCCCATGCTCTGCACAGGTGTGCTTCCCTGGCCTCTTTAGCTGCGGGTTCTGACATTGGCTCTAGAATGTTTCCAAGAGGGAGTGTCAAAACCGACCTTCGAGAAAATGGTATACCTGCACTAACACTTGCTTGGCCGAAGTATCGGGCATCAGCATGCAGAGGCTCCTGAACACTGGAAAACTGGGACCTAACACTCCCTACTGATTGTCGCCACAAAATAGAGTATAGTCGATGCTTTGTCAGCTCTCACTTTGCGGTGGTGTATTCTCAGCAAAATCTCTTCTTGATGGTAATGGGTCTGAGGCACAGAGAATCAGGTCTTGTATATAAATATAAAAGGGACAGGAGAAGGAGAACAACTTTAACAAGTCACAGGAGACGATGACTCACAGTTCGAACATAGGCCCCACTATCATCCCGAACTCGTAACAAAATATTTATTATCAAAAACAAAAAGAATGGGCTACCAGAAAGCTCTGGGCTTTCATCATGAGATTCTCAAAAACAATTGGACTTTTTGGAATGGAAACTTTTTCAGGGAAATAAGTATCTGAAAGAGACAGACATGGACCATGCACATACAACTCAAAGCACTGAACTCTGGGAGGCAAAGCCTATTTGCTTTTCACTCTCCTAACAACTCTCTTGCATCAGCATGTTGCCAATCCAACAACCATGTTAAAGAATCATTAACTAAACTGGAAAAAGCCCAGGTGTGTGGGAGCTGACTCAGTCGTGTGACACACAGTCACTGCAGAGAGGCTGTTCTACCACAATAAAGAAAAGAGAGTAACCTGAGCATGTTGTCTCTCCCAGGTAATTCAGCAGTCTGGGAATGAGACCAGACTTCTGGAATATGCTACTCCAGTGTAATTGACTTCAGGCGATTTGTTACTCTGTGACAGGTTTTATCTCCTCACGAAGTTACCTCATCTGATTTTTAAATTCTGTGGGTCTCTTTCCTAGAAGTGCTCTTCCATTTAATTCTATTAAAACCCCACTTAAATGAAGTTTTTGACTCAGTACAGAGCTACATTTGCAGAGAGGTGATGTGACAGAGATGTAATCAGTCCTTTTCACCCCCTTCACCGATATGTTCTATGTACTGTCCTTTTCCTAATTTTTGCAAAGGAGTGTGATTAGAAGGATGAGAATAAATTACCTGGAATAATAACCTCAATATATGATTCATTTGGTACTTTTGGTCTGGCACTGGATATAAATAGTATAGTAGTCGCTTTTCTCACTAGTAAAGCTAGAAGGTCTAGATGAAACCTCCTCCTCTGTGAAGAGCATTTCTCTTTAGAATGCTTTTCATTGCAAACTCACAGGCTTGGGTTGATACTCAGACCTAGTGTATCAAATTGCATGTACTTATATGTGAAATGAAGAATTTGTTTTTTTTCAATGCAGGAATGTTTTCACCATATTATAACTGGAATGCAGTGAAAAAATCTTCACTATAAAGATAATTGATTGCAGCATAGTGGGGCAGCTATAAAAACTTGCCTGCCCAAATTTTTCTGGAATGTTAACTGACAGCAGAATTGTCTATGTGGCAGTCAATTCTCTGGTAGGTTTCAGATTCGCCATGGGCTCACCATAGAGCCTCCTATCTTGATGTAATTAAGCAGTTAAGCTGAGATGTTGAAAACATTGTACTGAGCCTGTAATACCAGAATTTTTTTTTAATGTGTGTTTTTCTCCTCCCATGATAAACATTGGAAATGCCTTTAGATATATTTAGCTAATTTTAAAACTATTTATTAGACATTCAACCTGTAAACACAAATTCTAAATTATGTGACAAGTGGACACAAGTATGAACCTACATCAAAATGAAGGTGATTGGGAATCACCTAGAGCCTATTTCAGGTTTATGCTCACCTCCTTTTTCTCTCCTGCATTAACAGATCAATGATAAGTCAATGGATTAAATAATTAAATCAAGTCAACCAGATGAGCTCTAACTGGTCCTTCAATTAAACTTAATTCAGCTGTTATTTGACCTTTTCCTCAGTTTAATTATTCTGCTTATTTTGTCATAAGAAAAAAAAAAGCTTATTGCACAGTATCATGTATTTTCAAAGCTCAAAATAACATTATTTGCATCATAAGGGTCTATTTGTTGCTACAGCAGGACCTATCTTTTGAGCTCATGTCAGCCTTTGCCCTAATAATAATACATTCCTCCATCAATTGTTTCTCATCAATGAACCAAGGTCGAGACATCATAGACTGTTCACAATAACTTAACACAGATGTAACAGCTTCCCTCCCTGCGTACACCCTGCCCCCCACCCTGGCCTATCAGTCATGACTGGGTTTGCATGGATTCTTTGTTCACTGTTCAAACCATTCACACAGAATGGAATAAAACTTTATTCTTTTAAATTCCACACATAAACGAGATGCTGAGAAAGCCCTTGTCATCTCTGACAGAGAAGAACAGCTCTGTTTCATGAATGACAGCACAATTAAAGCTAAAATAATATAAAAATAATTTGAAAAAAATCCCTTTTACTGTACACTCTCAAATAAAGCAAGAAAGATAAACAACAATTTCTTTTCTGTTAGAAAGTGTGTTCCTATTCATTTGGGCTTTGAAGTTCAGTGCACCCCACATCTTTGTGCATACATGTGTGGCTATACGTGTATAATCTACGCAGTGTAGCAGCCCCTAATCTTTTCAGCTAGTTTGTCTAATCATTAAGCTACTTAACCAATTAGAATACTATTATATCACATTGAACAACTTTACATAATTGTTTCTTTGAAATACTAGGAATGTTTACACATTTGGCTTGTAAAGGACTGAAATATTACCAATAATATATTAACTAGCTTTTTCCTTTAAAGAATATGGCTCTTAATAAACTGATTTGCTGAGTTCCAGAGTGAAAATCCCTTTTAAAAAATTTCTGAAGCTGACTTGAAGCAGGTAAGATGTCTTCTGATTTGGCCAAATATGACGTGTATTTTGTAACACTTAAAATTTGAAGGATAAGTCTATAGGGGGCCCTTTGTTGTCGTCAACTGTTCCAGTCAAACTTCCCATGAAGCATTTGTTGAAGTAAGTCCACTTGACCAGCAGAGGGCACTTTACACACCTCTACACTGCTTATGAAGCAAATGCAGATGATGCAGAAACACAGTGTTCACCCAGTATCAGGAAGAGCCCTGCAGATTTCTTTTTGAAATTCACAAAAATAGAGAAGATATGAACCGTACCACAGCTTTTCATGTGGAAACTTATGACTGTGTGAAGTCAAATAGGAAGGGGTATACATTGTATAGATCTTCAGCTCATTTCCCTGCTTTTTCCCCCCTTTCTCAGCTCAAGAATGGTATTGGGTGGAACCTTTTTACATGTACTACAGAATCCATTTTCAAATCATTTGGTTGAGTTTCACCTTTTCTACCCCATATTTACTCTTTTCAAAAGCCTGGGGCACCTGAACCAAAGATAATGCTTCATATCTAAGACTAGAAACTACGAATAAAATGATCACAAATGCTCTGAGATGGAGCTGCTCCTTCCAGCACTGAGCTGCATTGTTTCCATCCTACCAGGAAAAACCTGGGAAAAATACTGTGCCCCCTTTGGTTTTGGCAAACTCACCAGCCTGAGGCTGTGCTGTTAAAGAGAAAAACACCAGTTGAAATATACTTGTTTACATCTATTTTCATAAGAGGTGGTCCAGATATCTTTCCTCATGGGGACTACAACTATTAACCTTTCTTAAAAATGCTTTAAGTTTTGCAAAAGGATTAATGTTCTAGATATACACCCTGTGTCTCTTCCATTTTTATCTATTCTATTGGCTCCAGTTTAGTGTCAAAAAGATTAGAAAGGACTGTGTGTGCATGTGCTTGCACAGTTTTTTTTTTCTTTTTTAAGTAAACTTCTTTCATCCTTAGAGAAATATAACACTTAGTAAATACTTTTCATAGTGTTAACAACCTGTTTGTCTTCGATTTCTCTCTCTCTGCCTCTGGCTCACTTTTGTTCTCATTTGTCTTAACGTTGACAGATAAAGAGGGAATGGGGTCTTCTAGCAGCCGTCCTTCGAGATAGAGGTGCACTCAGTGAGTCCTCACCCAAAAAGGATCATAAACTTACTGGGTTACATCAACCTAATTATCCCTAAGCTGCCTTGGGTTTTGTGTTTGCTCATGTGTTTTGTTTTAGCTGCACCATATGTGATTCCTTGTGCCATTTACTTTTGTCTATGATTTTTCTTGATGACCCTGAGCTATGGCTTCCTCCTCAGTTCCAACACTATTCCGCCTTCGTGGTTTTCCTCATCTTGCCGATGTAGGCCTCAAAGAAGAAGTGGCAGAAGAGCACAAGGTAGCTGAGGTACATGAGGGAGGACCAGAAGACGTTCTGAAAGTGGGAGTGACACTGGTCATGCTGCATCCAGTAGAAGACCAGGTAGTTAATGACACAGCCCATCAGCATCTGAGTGATCTGGGACAAGGTGATGAACATGGCAAACTTCCGGGAGACTCGGAAACCCGCTGCTCGCAAGGCATAGTAAGAGTACATCACGGCGTGCACGCCATAGTTCATGGTCATGAACCAGCCACCCCCGGCAACCATGTCCTTGTAGGAGTACCAAGAGTACAGGAGCACAGTGATGTGGTGGTACCAGTGCAGGAAGATCAGCTTCTGCTTCCTCAGAATAATGAATATTGTATCTCCTGAAAGACAAATTAGGGAAAGAATGGACATGAGGCCCTGGACCATGACATAATGGTCTTTTATATTTTGCATGAAAAGTAGGTATCCTGACTAGCCCTTGAGTGAGGTGGACTGGGTTAGAACCCTGGACTGATATTTATTGCCTCTGTGACATTGGGCAGGCTATTTATTCTCACTATTCTCCAGTCTTCTCATCTGTAAAATGGGGATATTAATAGTAGCTTGGAAACGTCCTGAGGATTAAATAGAATTATCATTATTAATAGACCTCTTAGCACATGGTAAGAACTCAACAAACATTACTTTCAGAAAGGTGTTTTGCACAAAATCTTACTGATTTTTGATCTGGAAAGGACATTAATAACAATGTTGCCTGATTTCCACCTCCATCATACATTTTTAGGGTGAGGTGACTTGTCTCAGATCAGTCATCGATCAGGAGAAAGAGGTTAGAGTTGAAGTGCCCCCACAATGTTCTTCGGCCCCTCTGGAGCGGTAAACTGTTTTTCTTTGGTACATGACAAAGGGACCCCTTAAAAACGTATCTTTATAAGCTTCCTGTAAAATGTGACACGTTGACATATGGCAGTTAGGAAAGTAAAATCGAAGCAAAAGGCAAAAACAGAAAAGGAAAACAAAGGTATCTCCTACATATTTGCTGAAGAGGAAATAGGAATGTTTTATTAAACCAATTAATCAAGTGATAAAAAACCGAGATTGACATACAGCTTTATGGAGTCAACTTTGAAATAGCTCTCCAGAGCTATCACATATTTTACAGACATTATCCCCTTGAAGAAAAAGACCGCTGTGTCTAGGGTAAGGCATTTGTATTATAGAAGCTGGAATTATGCTCAGGTAGACAGGTGCTATGTATCTGCAATGATTCTGAGAAGTCTAGAAATCCTGAAGGAAAAAAAAAACCTGTAGAGCACGTGTAAAAAATGGATAAAGAACAAATACACCCAATTCCATGAACAAGTACAAAAAAAAAGGGGAAGAGATGTTGGTATGTGAGACAGAAAGAGGTTCATGCAAGGAAATGCTTGATTCTCTTTCCTAGCTCTATGGTTCTCAGGTACAGTGAAACCAACATCTCTCATGAGCTTTGGTGAATGAGCTCAAACTTGACTTCTCTTTCTGTAACAAAGGGAATTAGGTGGTCTCTCTTCTTACTATGAAATTTAATGAAGCACAAAGAAAATTAGTGCTTATCCTTGTCCTATTCCTCATATTTCAAGGGTGCCCTAAAACATTTGGCACAAGAGAAGGTCAAAGAATGCTGGACCTTGGAAAGATGGTTGTGGCTGGAATAAAACAGGTGATGCCCCATTCCATTCAGTAGTAGATATTAGCTTATTTCCCTACCAAATTGTTAAATATTATTACTTCATATTTGTTTAGAACAGAAAAGTTGCCACCTGAACCTGTTATAAAATGTTCTTTGAAGTCCTCTTCCCTCTTGTGAGATACCTGACATAGTATGTCTATAAATAAATATAAGGCTGATAATGACCAATGGTGATGGTTAACTCTCACTAGCATACTTAAGGGATAAAACTAGTGTTAGGAGGCCTGGGTCTACTTCTTAAGTGTTCAACTGTGCCACTCTGTGTGCCTGTTAAAGATCTACTATTTCTGTGTAATTACTACTCTGGCCTCTCTTTCCTCTGTGGATGACCATGTGGAACAATAATTCCAGCCCACCTTTGTTCTCAATGGAAAGAAGTCCAAGGACTTGTATGTTAAAAACAAATTTATCCCCCCACAATATCCAAACACACTGTAATGACAATTATTTGCCATCAAGTAATGAGCATTTCATCCTTTTGAAGTCTTATAGACTTAATTTTAACTTGATCATCACTTTTATATTAAAACTTTATGGTATAGATTCCACTGAGAGGGGAATAGCAGGAGACAAAAGACAAGAGACCATGTTAAGATGGCTGAAAGTGAATGAAAAGTGGAACCTATAATTCTGAGATTGTAAATTGTTTTGTGTCTTTCCTGTCTGAGTTGGTGAGTTGGGGAGGGGGTCTTCGGCTTGATCTGGGACACACTTGGTGTTTCCATTTACTATGGGAAGGCGGGGGTGAAGGACAGACATGTCATGAGACCCTCGAAATAAATTAATTTGAATTCACTTAAGAATCTTTTTTCAGAACAGATATGTAAGATAAAGATGAGTATCTTTCAATAAGAGCCCTGGAACCTCTCAGGACTACCACTCTATTGCCCTCTCAAAGTTACTGTCCCCACGAAGGCCACTGACCCAGATAATGAGAGCTTCCCCGGGGTGAGGGGAAACTGGGGGCTCCGGAGGGGCTCCGGAGGGGCTCCCTGAGACCTCCATGGTTCTTTTGACAGGGCAGCTGAGATGCAACAGTCACACCACTCTGGCAGTTACAATGTTTTTCCCGTCTGGGAAACTACATACTATCATATTTGATTTGTCACAAGTCATAGTATTTATAGGCTTGCCAAAAGCTACATGTCCTGGAAATGCAAATTAATAATAGGGGCTCTGTATGTGATATTGGGCAACTAATCTTTCTCTGCCAAAGGCCCGGTTGGCCTTATGGAGAGGACCCTGGCTCAGTGTAAAATATATGGGACTTCTGATGCCTGGACCTTTCAGCCACATCACTTAGGTTAGCCACTCATGGTTTATGTTCTCTTTACCACGCAGTCTCTCTAACCTACGGTTCAGCTATTTTCAGTCAAGAGCCAGCCAGCCTGCAGGTAGGGCATGAAATTTTTATACCCAAGTGTCCCTTCAGCATTTGGAAATCCCCGGGGAGCGCGCCGCCACCGGAGTCACTCCATGTGTGGTTGTCACGGAATTCTGTGTTGCTCTTCACAGACTTAGCTGGAGCTCTGCTGAGTCAGAGTTTCAAAAACAAAGACAAGCTCGGCTGAGCAAGGACTTAGACTCAGAGCAGATGTTTCCGAGTTTTAACAAAACCAAACCTCAGCAGGTTTTAATGTAATTCAAACAGTGGGCGCCCCAGGATTCTGGCACACGAGTCAAGTTGGTGGCTGTCTTCCTCTCACTTGTTCTAGTAGACTGTCACCCTGTAGTAATTCACTGAAATGAGCTCACCGATTCCTGCTGAAATAGAATGCCCGCCTTGCTCTTAAGAGCTTAGTGAAGGGGCCGTGGGGAGAAAGCGTTTAATGGTTAGGGAGTTTCAGCGGGGGGAGGTGACAAAGCGCTGGACGAGGATAGTGGTGATGATGGTACAACAACGCCAATGCCCTCCCTGCTGTAGCCCCTGTGCACTTAGCAATGGTAAGTGTTATGCATGCTTTGCCAAAAAGCATTTAGTGAAGACTGTAGGCATGGAGGTTTTGGGGGGATTATAGAATTTCAGTATTGAACACGGAAGAATCGTTCTTTTCCTCTCACAAGAACTTTCCTTTCTGGTGTGCATAGAGGAACCCAGAATCTTAGAGTATTAAAAAACAGAACACGGGACCTAAATTAAGAAAAGTTCTAAATAATCCAAATGGATAAATCTTTTTTAATTAAATAGTAGTGGCAAGGTTTTCTAAGAGCAAAAAACTGGGAAGGAATTTAACTTCCAAAACAAATACATTTACTAAACAAGGGCTGGGGCCAGTTGCCTCCAAGATGCTGCATTAGAACTGGTTTTTGGATTTGTTTTGGTTTGGCACTTTACTTTGGGAAGGCCATTATCAGCTGAGCCCTAGAATACTAGAAAGAAAATAAGTCATATTTTAAAACTGAAGAAAGGGTACTCAGACCATGGAAATATCTGTATAATGGATGTGAAACTACAAGAAGGATTTGTGTCACTAACTAGCCTCACTCTTCAGCCCATTGTCAAGACTTCAGTCCCATATTTTAATGGTGAGGGAGTGGATTCTTTGATATCCAACCAACAAACTACTGTGGTAAGTGCGGATTCAACAGGAAAGGGGTTATCAGGCCAATGGAACAAGCAACTGGAGTCCGGCTCCTTCTGGGCTTAAGAGGGAAGACCCCATGTTCAATGATAATGTCTGCACTGGGGTGAGGCACTTTTGGGCCTAGATTAAATCGATACAGGGTGATTAATTGGCATCATCAGGACCAACACTCTGACAAGACAGAAGATGAGAGCATGAATACCTTTGAGGCTGCACTGATAGACTAGGAATCTTAACTCTGTCCACCACCTTAAAACTTTGGTTTCAGTCTGGAACAGAAGTCATGAGGGTGGGCCCATGGGTCTAGTCATGTCTTTGAAGGAAACTGATTCATTTGGAATGCTTGCAGAGGCTCTTCAATAGATTATTCCTTCAAAAGGTAGAAAGAACTGTTTTTATTCTTCAGTCCCTCAAATACAAGTGGAGAAAACACAGAACACGGATAAGCTGCCCTTGCAGCATAAAGATACTTCTAGAAACAAAGACTGAGGCTGCTCCTTCGCAATTTGAGGCTTAAGAGCCAGATGCACTGAGGCACCATTTCTCATTAAAAAAAAAAAAATTCATTGAGGGTAGTAAGGTGTAAATTATAAACGTGTTCAGGAATTGCGCGCGCGCGTGTGTGTGTGTGAGGGTTACATGTATGTACTGCATTCATACATTGGCTGTTAGTTCTTTATCAAAAATGGTAGGAGAATTAATACGGATACTTACTATACTGCATAAATTAAAAGTCAGTGGGATATAATATTACTAGTGTATAAATTTATTTTTAAAGAAAAAACCACCACAAAACCCTATAGGTACAGAAGACATGCTCATGTTCTCAGACCAACTTCAGTGTGGCCACATGATCTAACTCAGAAACTCTTAATCTAATTAAAAAAAGAATCACTATGAAAGAAATACATCTGGCCAGATAATCTTTTGTTTTATCTACAAATGAAAACAAAAAATTAAAATATTCTCATAGATTTTTGAAATTCCTGAAAATAAAGCTGCAGAATTTCAGGCATTGTCTATAGCTCCAATTTTGAAAAACACTTCTCTAGCCTACGATTTTGCAACAATTCAAATAAAAAAAAAAAAAAGCCACTCTATTCTAGCCCCTATTACATGCCTAACCTCTAGCAGGTGCTTAATATAAATTTATTGAATGAATGAATGAATCCATCCCTACTAATGCCTTTCATTCTAAGACTATACAGGCTCTGTGTGTATGGAAGCGGGGCGGGGGGCCCACACACAACAATGATCTAGTTACTGTGGACTGTGTAGAGGACCCATCTTTGTACCCCTACCCCTTAGTTAAGAAAGGTTTTCACAAAAAGTTTTCTTGTGCTGCTCTCCCCTTGTCTTCGACCTGGGAAGACAAAATTACACCAATAGTTCAAACCAACTGCTAACTATTTGTAGGCAGCAGGCCTATTGCCCCCAGAGGGAAGTGAGTAGGTTGCTGACACACATCAGAGAGACATTGTATCCTTTGTGAACAGACACAGGACATGAACTAGGGGTACCTTGCAGATTGTTGATATCTTATATGGTAGGTAGCTTATAATGAAATTATAACCTTTAAGCCCCTTTTTTAGGGGAAATGGGAGAGGGAACACACTCTAGAAAATAAATAAATAAATAAACAAATATTTAAAACTGAATACATACAATTCTTAATTCCAGATACAAAATTTAGAAACCCAGAGGATGGCTAGGCTTCCCCTAAAGGTACGTGATAGTTTGAGAGACAGGGGCCGCCTCTGCTCACGGACGAACCCCAGTCTTACTATCACCAGCAGATCCTTCTCTCTGGCAATAAAGATGCTTTCGTGGGGAGCTGCTATACCTATGTCAAATCACTGCCACTTGTTTTCCACTGTTTCTGGTGGCCCACGCCATACTTATATTGAAGCCCATTAAAGAGTTGGAGGAAAAACCTTAGGAATCTACAAATACAACCAGTTTTTAAAAAAAAATTAGTTTCTAAAAGGTGAACTATATTCCACTTCTCCAATGCCTGTCTCTTTGATGATTAAAATCAAACAACACCAGAAACTAACCCTTACTATTTGTTAATGAGAACATGAGGGCACCCAAATGAAAACCTTCATTTCCTAGTCTGAACCCTAACTCCAGAAAAGGAAGTATCCTTTGGTATGGGACTTGGAAATAGTCACGTTGCTAATTTTTCCTCATATTCTAATATTAGCTGAGCTGATAATGGGCCAGAGGGAAGGGGGTTGTGCATATTTTATGATCCCTGGAAGTATACAGACAGTAGCATTTGAAAGTTTGCATGTTCTGTGTACAGTATTTTGCTTTTCATATACACAGTATACAATTATTTAAAAGGAGGGAGGGAAGAGAGGAAAAGATAGTGAAAGTTAGTCATTAATTGTAACTTTCCTGCAACCAATAAAATAGGACCTTCAAATGGTTTGTTTTAAATAAATATTGTGGGTATGTAGCTATAAATTAGGTGGGGGAGGAGGAAATGGAAGGAGAGAAGTCACTCACCTAGTTCAGGTGCTTTGCTTAGCACAAATGCATAAGCCCAGAATTTGCTGACAGGTCCATTGTAAAAACTCTGGTCACAAACTGACTGCTTCAGGCCTTTGGTCATCAAAATGTACACCATATAAGCACCAGTTCGAAGAGCACCGAATATACTTCACAAATGAAAAGAGAAAAGAAATGACATTTAGGAAAATAATTTTATTTCTGACATTAACCACCCTAAGAAGGCTGTGTGCCATTGGCCAAACAGGCACAGAAGTACCACAATAATTTGCATTGACCCAGAAGCATCTTCAAATGTTCTGTGAACAACAGTAGTAAAATGCAGGGCTTTATTCTGAAGATTGTATATAATTCCACTTATCCTTCATCAGTATTCCAAAAAGAGGTCACAGGAAAGAAATGGGTGGGCAGGATCTCATGATGAACTCTGGTGACCTCTATGTTTCAGCTTAAAAACATTGGGGATGACATAGGGTCGACTGAAAACTCTCAGAATTGTCTCAATTCTGTCCTGTGTCCAATCGTTCTCCAAGTCCCCCTGGCTCTATTCCTGGGACTCTTTTTATGTCTTTTAGCCAACTCTTTCTCTGCATCTGGACAGCCCAGGCCTCCTTGGCCTCTCTTTGGTCCCCTGTGTCAGCAGCCTCTATACCACTGTCCTTGGTTATGTCTTTCCACTGTCTAATCCATCTTTTTCACAGAAGCCAGAAGAAGCCTCTTCAAGGCTTAACTCTCCCTGTCACTTCCTCCAGGAAGCCCATATTGGCTCACTCCTCTGAGCTCCTCATAATCATGTACTAACACCGTCCTAACGCTGTTCTTCAATGTCCCGTCATGTGTTTGCCTCCACATAGACAGAGGTGCTCAAAGACTCCTGACAAAGTGAAAAGCTGTTGAGAAATAAACCGACATGAAATTTTTATTCAGGAACCGCTATGGAAATGAGAGCTCTGGAATGTGTTGAGCTCAGCGATGCAACCTGAAGTACGAAAGGGCTTGGCAACTAAAACAAGTGGCCTCCACTATGACTGAAACTTAGGCATATTTCTCTGAGTGTGCAAACCACACACGTGACTAAGGGGAAAGCTGGCTGATCTGGAGAGATGTGTCTGCCCATCCTTTTACTGTCAGTTTCCTCTTCTAAGGTTCTAGAAGTCAGTAAGAAGATAAACTAGTAGGTAAATACTGAAAAGAGTAGCAGCATCACCAAATTGGTAAATAGCTTTTGTTTCTCTTTAGAGGTACTGTCTTTTAGTTAAAATGTCTTAGAGTTGCTCCAGAATAAGTCATTCCACTAGGCTATCCTGTTCATAAACATGCATTCGTCACTAGAACTAAAGATCAGCTCTGCATAGAGCCAAGGTAATGCCATTGATTTCCTATCAGCCATCTAATGACTTACTGCCTACATTAAATGGAGTTACTCTTTCCAACATTTAAAAGGATCCTGCATGGGATTGTTGGTGTCACTTTATAATTGTAGATCCTATTTAACCCTTCAGGTGGCTTCCACTGCACTTAGAACGAAACCCCCAACTCCTTTCCATGACCCACCCAGCCTCTGTCGCCAGCAGTGCCACCCTAACCTCCTGTGATTCTCTTCCGCTCACTGTGAGCCAAACATTCCAGCACTTTCAGATATGACTGGTTTTCTGTTTCATGGCCTTTGCATATGCTTCCTCCTTGTGGGTAGCTTTTTCTCCCACATTCACTCCGAGGCTGTCTCCTTCTCACTTCCTTTTCTCAAAGAAATGCTGTCACCTAATAGAATGACCTAAGTCTTTTCAGTCAATAAACTGTTCTAATTTAGAAGCTGGGAGTTGAATTTCATTGGGGAAGTCAGGTAACAGAGGTGTTTCTGTCTTACCTGAATTTATGTTTTATCTTTACCTTAGCAGATAATGGGTAATTTCTAATATGAAACCACCAGATTAAGGTTATTAGCATATCAGATACTTGGAAGGCAGTATAAAGATATGAACATCTCTCCACTGAGCATATGTAGTAGACATGGTTGGTTGGTTCCCTATTCAGGAGCCAAGTCCCTCCCTGTTTCTCCATATTAGTACATTCCGTACCGCATAGAAATCTCTAAGACATACACCAGGGTCGAATGACCAAAATACAATGTAACTGCAATGCTTTATGGGTTCGTGCAATTATATAGTTTTTTGTAGATTGACCTGAACGGTTTCCACCAATGAGATCGTGTCATTCGATGTGGACAAGACATTGTGTTGACATCTAAAGTCCCTAACAGATGGCACGTGAAAAACGAGAAAACTCCTTAGCGGTCCTTAACAGATGGCGCGTGAAACACGTGAAAACCCGTGAGCGGTACGCAATGTGTTAAGAGTCCTGATTTAGTTCAGATTCTCCCAATTCATAATTCTCCCCAAGGAAGCTGACCTTATCTTCAATTTTGGAGTAAATCTTAATTGTCTAAGCAAGTTTTAGTAATCCCATTCACCTTACCAAGGATTTGTTATGATAGGAACCGACTCAGTTCTGGCCAAAGCGATGTGAGGAGAGGGCTGCTTTGGTCTTTGGGGAAAGGTTTCCTTGCTCTTTACCATGTGTTACCAGGGAGAGCGGCAGCCACCAGCAAACTGTAAGGGAGCTACCTTGAGAACAAAGCTAACTCCAGAACAAAGCTAACTCAGAGAGGACGGCAAAGCAGTCCTTCAACACAGATATGACTATGCTGCTGGATTAACCAATTCAATGTTCAGTGACCCTATCTCAAGATTTCTTGTTTTTTAGATAAAGCTTCTTTCTTGTATATAAGCCATTTGGAGTTTCACTTTTTATTACTTGCAACCCAAGCATCCCAGCAGACACAACACACAAGACGTGATGTTCAGTAGACTTTTGAACACTAGTTAACATTTTGTGGCTATAAAATGCATCTCGTCATAGACACTGCTGGGGAACTAGTTACTACATCAAATATTTGCTTTTCATAGACCAGTGGGAGGTATGTCAGCGACTTCTGTACATACCAAAAACAAAGAAACACACAAACAACACACTGTGCACATGTATCAGCCTCTGCTCATTAGCCCTGGATCTATGATTTCTCAGAACCATCAGCACATTTTACAGAACATATCTCTCCCTGTGGACTGAGGCCCAACATTCCCAGGAAGCAAAGCCCTTCTTCTACTACATTTTGCTGCTAGGTTGTGTGCTTTGCACATGATCAGAGTACATCCAAGGAAAGTTCTTTGGAATAGTTACCATCTTTTCGTCTGCCTGGATCACAAAAATCACTGTAGTTTCACTACACCAAATGTCTTAAAAATCAGCACAGTTTAACTTGTTCTTTCAATTCTTAAAGATTTATTAGCACTGTCCTAGATCCTGGAGTGACAAGACTCAGTAAGTCAATCCTGCTGCTGGTGATAATGGTGGTCCTAGAAGACTTCAGAGGAAGTGGTATTTGAGTTAGGGGCAAATATGTCTTCATGTGTGAGGGACAGGGTGCAAAAAGGTCACTTCAGGGCACTGCGGCATTTCAGACTTGAAAATTTAGGTATCACAGTGACCCAGAATATTGCTGACAACGAGAATATAGCACACATCATTGTCCCCTATCTGGACATTAGCCTCACTCTCTCAACCCTGAACAATAAGGCTGACTCAGAACAGAGGACAGTGCATTTCTCAGGGAAACTGTCGGTGCCAGCCATTGGGCTTATGTGTCTGTGGGCAAAGCTGCTTTGTTGGGATGTGACAATGCCACCGCTGGGGAGCCACCAGGGAGCTGTGTGGCCAATAGGATGATTGTTATTTGTGGGAAGCCAGTAGCTCTGCCCCTGGCACATCTCGGCCACTGGACGCTTTGGAACCATGTGGCTTTTTATTATAACTGGGCACCGGACCCCCAGATTGTGATACTTTACCAAAATATACTTTAAGAGAGGTGATATTTTTCCTCCCTAAGTGGCATCATTTTGTGAGATACTGTGATGCAAGACAAAAAGCAGCAGCTTATGTTCTGCTGCCCCTTTCCTTTCTTACACACGCAGCAGATATTCATGGCTAATCAATCCTGACACTCTTTCTGGCCCTGCCTGGACATCGTACCAAAGTCCTCAACCCCTCTAGGCCACTACCAATGGATTAGAGTTGCAAATTCCAGTCACAGTGCTCTCACTAGTTTCATGACTGGGCAAATTACTTAACCTCTCTTAGTCTTTCTCATCTATCTGAAATGATAATCGTATCTAACTTGCAAAGTCTATAAATTCTGTAACAATGTAAGGAGGAAAAAGAGACAACATAGGTAGGTATTTAATTACCAGATAGTCTATGATATGTAGGTGCTAAATGATTTTATTATTTATTATTATTTTTATTACTGCTTATTATTGCTGCTTTACTTGACCTTTCAGTGTTTACAATCACTTTGCCTCATCTCCTTGTGTCAGGTAGGAGAGGGGAAGCATAAATAAAAGCCTAGGAAACTGATACATGGAGAATTTGATTTGCAGTGATGATTATCCATGTTATTAAGTGTTTTATTGTTAGGTGTTCTATTTTATGAGCCAACTTTTCACAAAATAAGTGACAGCTACTAAGTTCACAGTATGATATGAAATGAGCATTTTCCATAGAATGTCTTGAAGGAGAAACAGTAGGTATAGAAAAAGCATCTGGTTCATGTGAAATTTACCTTTCAACCAATGATAAAGATTTATTCTAAATCTAGGGTCTTAAAGGGGCTAAGAGTCTAGACCATTGTATTTAATGAGGGCAGATGACGACTACATCACACATTTTTTTCCAGGATCCTTTGTTTTCTTTTTTCTTTTTGGAAGAAATAGATCCCTTTTTCTTGTTAAAGCCTAGTTTTGAGAATGACAGTTAATGGAATAGTGGCAGGCTCAGCAGAGGGAGAAGTGGATGTTTCCGCTCCCATTCCGCTATGTTAGGCACTTGCAGTAAGGAGACCTGGGGTAAAGCACAGCCCTGGCTCAGCTGAGGTGCACCTTCTCAAACCAATGTCCTGGACTCCCAGCCCAGAAGAAGCCTGTTTATTCATTATCAGCTACTTGCTGTGGCATGTATGTACTCAAGGCAGTGTCAAGAGAGCTCATTGGACCATTAGCTGTCATCTTTGGTGGGAGGGGTGGAGGAAACATCT